CTGACTTACATGGCCAGATGAATGAAAATACTCAATCGATGTGCCACCAAATCGTAACCAGCCTTCACCACGCCCTCACGATGTCACCGGGGACACAACTGCCAAAAAACTATTTAAAAAAATAATCAGTAAATCCTGTGCAATAAATAACAATACATACATAATAAACTGATAGTACCGTAATTGTTATTGTCGTGATGGAATAATAGACAATAACTGGATTTACGTCAGGAGAAACATGTATAGGTGTAATTTTGCCCTACCTGACGTGGAAATGTACCGAATACTCATACAACTAGTTTTCAATTAAATAAATTATACACACTGTTTTTGGTTCGCCGTCGTAATAATTTATGTACGAAAGTGAGTTCTTCAGTCCTATCGGTTCATCGAACCATGGAAGAAAGACTACATATCTAACTACTCAATGTACTGAGTTCTCCTATTCATAATAAACTGATTAACAATTAAACACATTTTGCATAAATGAGGTCCCATGAAAAATTGTAATTTTTATGATTATTTAAGAAAGAATAATAATTTAACTAAAGAATAATCAAAGACAGGCAATATATGATTATATTCCAACAACATTGACTAGTTAGATATGTAGTCTTTCTTCCATGGTTCGATGAACCGATAGGACTGAAGAACTCACTTTCGTGCATAAATTATTACGACGGCGAACCAAAAACAGTGTGTATAATTTATTTAATTGAAAACTAGTTGGGCTAAGCCTAGTTTGTCTGATCTTCCAACCTATGCCTACGTAGGTTAGCACGCTTTTTGTAAGCCAGGACCCTTGTATTTTGTTACATTTCGTCACAGAGGGGGGTTCGTCCGAACCCATTGAACCCCCACCCCCGGATCCGCCACTGGTATTTGAGAACCTCTCTGTGTGGTCGAGCGAAGTCTAGTGGACTGTATCAACTCACAGGATTGGTGGAACCACTACATGAATAAATAATGTTAACCTGAAAAATAATTATTATGAGTTCGAGAAACACATTTAATGGTTTTAGTTGGTGGAACGAATTGAACGACTTTCTCAACTCGGATTTCTCTTTTGATGAAGTCCTCTGCCATCAAATCATTGGATTATGTACCGTAAGTCTCTTAATGGAATTCGTAACGAATGACAAAAGTTATGATGGTATAATGACCAATTAAATTTACTTCATTTTGTAACCTCATTATGCACTCTAGCAATTCAGGGGCATTCTATATTGCGGCGGGTAGAATTTTTTGTAAATTATCTGGTCATATCATGGCTTAAGACAACATATACTGAGAGTAATGGCCAAATTGGTTATCGTAGAGCAAGAACCGATCAACCGATTTTAGAGCCTGCTAATAATAATGTAAAAATACATATAGGCCTTTTCTTTTCTCCCTGACGAATAGTGGTTTTCTCTGTGACGGTGGGAATTGGGGCACGCTCACCGACGGGTGTTTGGGCCAACTATACACAGGTAGTTAATATTAGAGAGCTTGTTATAACATTATGCATTAAAAAACTGTGCCCTCTTTGTATGAATATTATAGAAAACATGCTATAATTTTATGTACAGATTGGAAAAGAGTATAAACAAGTTAGTTAAAACTGTTTATCAGGGATTAGGGATTCGATCAAAATAATAATAATAATAATAATATATCGGTCTTATATAGCGCTTCATGAATAAAGCTTCTAAGCGCTTCACATTACTACCCCGGTCGCGGTCATTGGATCAAACACGTATGGAACACATACTCAGCTGCCTGGGCAGAATTCCATAATATTGCAGCTAGTAATCAACGCATTGTGTTCGAACCTACCAGGTACCGTACCCACTTGTACTCCTGGGTGAAGAGAGGCAACAGTGATAAAGTGCCTTACCCAAGGACACAAGCGATTTGCACAGCGAGAGTTTAAAAAATGGATGACACTTCACCACGTGTATCCTATTCAACGACGTTACCGATCACTTGCAGTATTCCTAATATTAAAAAAAAAACATCTTCGAACAAATCTAAACACATATAACGATACAAAAAAATCACTATTCAAGAAAAATAAAGCAAACATCAATTGCATCGTTAGGAGTCAATTATTTATTAAACACTGACTGAGAGGAGGTTTACCAAAATAGTTCTGCAAACGAACCAAATAACATATTTATTGAAATATTATCCTCGTTATATGATATTAATCTGCCAAAAACTAAAAACAAAATAAACAGACGAAAACTTAATAAACCTTGGATAACTAAATGAATAATAAAATCATTAAATACAAGAAATAAATTATATAAAGCATATATGATAAAACCTGGCAAACAATTAACAACATACTCTGTAGAAACATTCAAAAGAATACACCAAACTTCTTCCTAGACAACATATAAAAATATCTGATCCTTTCGAAATTGCCACAAAATTCAATCATTGTATACTTTACTGAGATAGGCTCTAAACTTGCTTCCAAAAATTCTGGCACCTATTTTCTAAAAAACCTCATAAAATATTCTATTTTTTTTCTCACCTATATCTACAGTAGTAAATAAATCTTAGACATTACTTCAAAATTTTAAAATGGAAAAATCTCCGGCCTTGATGACATCAACCCTAAAGTTGTAAAAGGAATTGCACCTCTTACTCACATTTTTAATCTGTCCTTAACTACTGGAAAATTTCAATTCTCCCAACAAAAGATCTTTGACCACTTTATTGTGCCTGTGGCAGTGTCCAACACGTTGCGTATTTCTCTGAGGCAAAGTCACTTTTTGCAGGTGAATTTTCATCTTATAAAAATGTATTTTTCACATGGGACCCCCCGCTAACATTATGCAGCTCTGTGTAATTTAATGTAGAATCGATTGGGAAGCAAGATTCTTAATTTGCGTTAGTGTCCAACTTATTAAGCAGAATAGTATGCAGGCATACTCAACAGTGATGTGGATCTAAAAAAAAATATAAAAAAGTGGCGAATTTAAGTTCCAAATAACTGGCATTTTGTTTAATGCCATCCATGCTTTGGCTATATGAGAAGTTTTCCCATGATGCAGTATCCTGTATTCAAAATCATGTACCTTCCAGTTTCTTTCCTCTGATCGTTGGTATATCGTCGTTAAATAAATTAGTTGCAGAGTATATATTTAGATTAGTGTAGGAGCAGACCAACAAATTGTGCTACATTTTCAACCCTTAATTAAAAAACCAGTGTATTATTATTACTATTATTATTAGTAGTATTATTATTAGTATTATTATTAATATAGGAAGACCTGACAATACACGCTGCTGAGTTCTGGACCTTTGCAACGGTCTTAATTGAATTGCAGAGAGTTACAGAAATTATGAAATAGACGAGGGAGCTATTGTACCATCATATTTGCTTGGTATGACGTTTGTAAGAATAATGACAGTCTTTGCTGGAAAGGTTCGCTCGTTATTATACAATTGACAAAGTTGATGAACCATGCTAATATACGGAATAATGATACAGTATTATAGTTGTCAGGTGTTACTAAATGGGCACTAAATGTACTAGTTGTTGAATGGGGAAAATGTCTTTTATAGCTCATTACAAGCAAGTCAGAAAAGTTAATTCCAACTATTAATGGTGAGTCTGTTCGCTTTTTTCCTGCTAACTACTACACTTTATAGATTAGAGACTTTTGAAGATCAATTTCTTTACAATATCTGAAAATTAAATGATAGGGAATAATGTGGGCGAGTCTGTGTAGTATTTTTTGTAAATTGAAAGGCTGAAAAAAAAAGAGGGCAGATTCAATGTGTTGGAATGAAACAATTGCGCCTTGCCCACGTGACACAAGCAAAACGGATAAAGTGGGCATTGAACCACAGCACCATGCCCCTGTGACAAACCAAATATTATGGAACAGTGCTTTACCCATTAACACAAGCAAAACGGATACTGTGGAAATCATAATAATACATAGTGTAAGAATCGAACCCCAGTGACACAATAAAATGGATAGTGTTGAAATTTAATTCAAGTGCCATGGATAGTGTGGGAATCGCCCAGTCCCTTGACTAGTGACTCAAGCAAAATTGATAGTGAGGAATTGCTCGGTGCCTTGGCTAGTGACGCAAGCAAAATGGATATTGAAGGAATCATCCAGTGCCTTGCCCAATGACGCAGGTAAAATGGATAGTGCAAGAATCGAATCCCGGTGTCTTATTCAGTGACACAAGTAAATGGATAGTAAGGGAATCGCCCAATGCCTTGCCAAGTGACGCAAGCAAAATGTATAGTGAGGTAATCGCCCAGTGACGCAAGAAAATGGATGTGGGAATCGCCCGGTGCGTTCCCACCCAGTGACGCAAGCAAAATGAATAGTGTAGGAATTGAACCAGTGCCTTGCCAAAATTACGCAAGGATGGAGAGTGTAGGAATCCAAGGTGTTCGTTGAGGTTGACTTATTTTCAATAAACCCTGTTTACTATCAATGTCAGAAGTCAATATAAGTGTTTTTCACAGTTCATTGCAATATTGTATACACTGTATGGGCTTGTGTGCATGCTTGACTTTCATTGTGTATAATGAAGTGTGAAGGCCATGTGGGTGGTGTTGCTGTTCATGCGTCAAACGAATAACTGTATGATCTTTGTTGATAGCAACATAACGAAAAAATACAGTTACTTGTAACCGTACTTTAATTTTTCCTTGGATTTTCGAAAATAATGGACAATGTGACAGGTATTGTTAATCATTTTTTTTCATTCTGTTAATATGCTCAAAAATAGATGTCAGCACTGGACCTTAATTTATAGTATGATGGTGAGGAGGATGAAGACTATGGTGGGGCTGTATGTAATTAATTAACATGGATTTGTTTTTATTATTTGTTTTTTACTTGATATTTATATAACGCCTTTTCCTTTAGGTTACAAAGCGCTTTCTTTTCCTTGGTCAAGTGTTGCCGCCATATGGCATAGTAGCAGTAGTGACGGGCAGCCAGCCCGCACCCACCCCTCACTAAATTTTTCAAAATAAAAAAAATTAAGAAAAAGAGAAAATTCTACTCCAATTTTGAGTCTATAGACTCTTAAAAGAGTGCCATTTCCGGCCATCTAGAGGTGCCATAATCATAAATTGTCTTACCTCACCCCAAACCATGGTGGGACTGCGGTGGTATAGACGTCCATCTGTGAAAGTACCTCTCTGGGCCCCTTCCATTTCAAATTCCTGGATCCGCCACTGAGCAGGAAACCCCACCAGATACCCATTTTCACTCAAGAAGCAAAGCAGATAAAGTGCCTTGCTCAAGGACACAACAGAAGTACACAGCCAGGGATACTAATTCAATGGATCTGGGTTTTATTGAATTGTTGAATGTTGAATAACAGCATTTCTGTCACCAGCCAACCACTTTTTTGGAATTGCTGGCAAATTCACCACTGTCAGTCAGTGGTGGTGCCACCTTCCGGCGGACAGGCCTAGACCCCCATCGTCCGACACCACGGCGAGGTTGTCGGACCAACAATAATAATTTGCTTATCCAAATAACGTTATTTTGATTGTCAGTCTCTAATATTGTGGTCTAAAAGCATACCCTGTGAACCCTACTTGGGATTTTTTTTATTAGTCGGCCCCCTTGTTCGGACCCGTTGGACATGTCGGTCCTTCTTTTGGAAAATTTTTGAGCCACTTTCTTCAGGTGTCAAAAAATACCCATATTATTTCAAATTTAAGTAAAATTTAAAATTTTTCGAATTATGGTGTCAAAATTCCCATTAAAAAAAGTCCTCAAAATCATTGCACACAGGACCAACAGCTTAAACGTCTCATCAGAAAAGACGGTGCGCTTTGTTAAAAGGATACAATGAGACTTTTTCCATCCCACTATGGCTGAATATAACAATTTGATCTATCAGTACACACACATTGGCTTGTACCAGCAGTTAGCAGAATGATTCAGTCTATTTACAAAAAGGTTTAAGGCCACAGTTAATGTGAAAAGCGATTGATTTCCTCTTGGTATTTATTTATTTTTTCTTACAAGATTTGATAAAATTTAAAAATTCTTTGTATATATATTTACCTATACATTATTAAATATATATTTATTTCCTCTTATTTTAGGAACAAATCTGCATACATTTGACAGGTGCCAGCTCCATTGCAAGTTCTGTCAAACCTCTACACCTCTTTTCTCCATTGTATCCTGCTCTTCATGTGGAGATTCTACCCATGACAACGGTGTAGGAGAGGTTCTGTGTGCTTTCTGTTTGGTGAGTTTTTTTTGTTGCAGATCGCAGGGAGGCACTGAATGAAATAAAAAGAGAAGTTGTGATAAAGAAAAGATCGCCATCAAGTAGAAGAAAGTGTTACCAGTAATTGATAGGAGAAAGTATAGGCTTTCTATATTAGTTTATTTAAAAAAAGGGTCAACAGATGGAAGTAAAACAATCAACAGAGATAATAACAATTGGCAAAATACACAAGAGATACAACCTTTTTGAACTCCACAAAAATAACTACGTAGGGTACTGATACTGAACGGTAAAACTAATAGAAAAAAAAACGTTTGTTAATGATATAACAAATTTAATATACAGATATTTTGGGAGCACCTGCTCTTTTTTTCACCGTAATGCCTACTGAATATAACATCGGAGTAGTAAGAACCTATGTTAGAAAACTATTTAAAAGGTTTTAAATTGATTTTAAAATTAAAATAAGATGTACTTCGCATGTTTCTTAACAGTTTTTTTAAATTCTTTCAGATGATATTAGACAACTCCTTGAATTGGAAACAATTTGAGACTACTAAAAGCAAATACGGTCAACCAGCCATAATGTTGGAAGACAATAGGCCTACCTCATCAGTTGAGGATGGTAAGCTACTTTCGAAAGTGCTTTAGATTATAATCAGTAATTGAGGCATTACAATGTAACCAAATTTTAGTAGAACTGAATTCTTTCCAAGAAATGTACTTTACACTGGAAAACAGAACAGTCCAGGAACGGTATAGCTTAATTGAACAAGAAATCCTGATCCAATGAATATAATCGTACAAAATAAATGATCTCAAATAGACGTAGCTTATAATGTTTAAGCAGGGAACAAAGGCTCATGTGTAGAAACACAAAGGCATTACGACAAACAAAAATGTCAGGGAACACTAGAAGGACTATTCTGAAATAAGTAATGCCCTACAAACAAACCTGAATCAGGGATACATCGACAGCAGCCTAAACAACACATTCAAAGAAAATTTAAAGATCCAGTATTAAGTTCCGTATTCTTTAATTGTCATGTGAACAATATACATTTACATTGAAATAAAATTGCAAGTTTCGTTAGCTCTTGAGTAGAAAAAGTAAATAGTAAATAATAAATAAATATAATATTAACACAGGTAAAACTATCCGCCGGACACCATCCTGGTAATTCTGTTCTAGGTTGTGAGGCTGAAATTTGTATATAAAAAATGCATGGCTAAACTACATATGTCGGAACGCCGAACACCATTCCGAAATTTTTAGTAGTCGGATGTTACGGGGCTGGAATTGTACAATTATAAGTTCATACAGTTTCGATCTTTATCGTAGTTTTTTTTATTTTATTATACTTAGATCCTGATTATCCTCTTATAGGCCAATATTTATTTTACAAATATTCATCTATTCTTGTATATATTTTTCAGAATTTGGCCTACCTATATCGGACTCCAAGCCAAAATGTCAATCCAAAAATAAGAAATCCTTATGCGAGGTCTGTGGGGCATCAGCATCTGGCCTTCATTTTGGAGTCTTCACCTGTGAAGGTTGCAAGGTACCGGTAATAAAACCATTTCTTAGTATAAAGTATATGATAATGAGGACGTATTCATTTCAAATTTAATTTTTTTTTAGATGAACACAGAAAAAATAACATACACAATTTGACATAATTATATAACATACACAAGACAACATATCATTCATAAAACACGTCAACATAACATATGCCTATATAGTATACATAATATAAGTAAAGGTAAAGGTATTAAGGAGGTTATAAAGTAGCTTTCTATGCTACTTTTTAACCTCCTCAATATAAATCAACCAGACACCCACATATACTCTTGGGTGGAGAGACACAATTAAATGTAGGTAAAATTCCTTGCCAAGGACACATACGAATTTCCCGGCAAAGGTTCGAACTTCTACCTCAAGGCTGAGAAACGTAAACGTAACATAACATCATCATCATCATCTTCCGTTACTGTGCATAACCTCGGTTGAGTATACTCGCACAATGTGTCGTACAGCACTCATATATGTCGCGGTCAAAAGGGAAACACATTTAAATTTACAAAATATGAATAAATTAAATAATAAAACATATATAACATAGGCCTACATAAAATTAGCATAACACATGGCAAAAACCCTCCTGTTAGAAAAATCTAAATTGAGTACATGTGGCAAAAATGATGATGCAGTCTGTGAAATCAGTGTGTTTTCGTGAGATAATAGACAGGGCTACAACAATGTTTTCATTCCTTGCAACAAACGGACATAACAAGTAAAAATATTGTATTTATATTTTACACATTATTCATTTTTACAGTGTTTCTATAGACGAACTATCAAAGAAGGGGCAAATTACGTGTGCCCAAAAAGCAATAGCTGTTCTGTTACTATGGAAACAAGGAATTCCTGTCGCTATTGCAGATTTCAAAAGTGCATGGCTTTAGGAATGTGCAAGGAAGGTATGAAAAACCTTGATGTTTGATGGTATAATATAATATAATTGTTTATGAAATGTAATTCAGAACGTAGAAAATTGCATTATATCAAGATCAGCACATTTACATAGTTTTTTGCGGGAGGGGTGTTTCTATGACGAAATAAATGTTTGATAATTTGATTTGATTTGGAAATAACAATATCATTACTTTCATACTAATTCAATGATTGGTTCCTGTGCATAGCAGTATAGTTAAAATATTAACAATCATATTTTTTGAATTTTCTGGTAGCATTTTAAAAAATTCACAAATTATATGTTTATGTTTTTTTTAAAAATATTTGTCAGTTGTTAGGAAATAATAATATTTTATCCCCTCGGTACAGGAATCAAATTGGGAAGAAGACCGAAAGCAGACAGCGGGTTACACTATTCTACCCACTTAAAGATGGAAAGGGATGGGCCTGAAGGGCCTGAAAACACGATGTATGTACCGAGATGGCACTCCTGGCCTACAGTCTGTACCACTAGCAATCATCAGCTTCCAATGAAACAAGAGCCAATTTCTACGAGACAAGTGCAAAGCTGCTCTGGTTACAGCACACCACATCCCAGTTATAAACAAGAAACGTTTTCCTACTGCAGACAAAAAACAACTATTGTGCAGAATGATGAAATAATCCATCAATCTTTTAACAACTTGAGCACTGACATTTTATGGAATGATCCTCAGCCATTTCCTACTGGTTATCAGAACTCCTCCCAAGTAAATTACTCATCTATTGCATGCCACCATATTCCGTCACAGTCGATTGCACCATCCTTAAGCATGACCCTTCCAGAAGTCCATACAGGAGCATTCACAGCTATGGCGTATGCTAATATGTACCGAGGTCAATATATACACGATTCATCTGGAAATTATAAGAATGTACAAAATATCAAATCTGAAGATTCAGGTGAGGTTAAGTTTACTGAGCTGAAACCATTTATAAGAAAGAGTCGAATTGCAAGTGAAACAAACATTATATCCTCAACTCCCAGTAACTACTGTGAGACTTTGGAACAAGAAAAACAGAATCAGATGCAAACATCATCACATGTTAGTATGTTATCGACTGAAAATAGCTTAAAGCGAAAGAAAACAATCGAGAATGACAGCAACAACACAAAAATCCCAAGAATGAACCACTCAGAAAAACTCTCTTCAGAAGGCTTTGTCAAGGTTTATGAGAATTTAGAGAAGTTGATAGTTGAGGAATGGACGTCAAGTTTGGTAAGTGCAAGCAAAAATTATATTATATGTAAATATCAATGAAAGAGCTGAGTGGAGGAGTCTTCATTATATCTATCTAGAGATGATTAATTTTCACATATTACTAATAATGATTAGACTGAATTGGCATTCAGTATTTTTTGTAGAGCCTTTTTGGGGTTCTCTTCACGTTAACATTTCTAGTGGACATGAGCGTTCTACATTTTGATATCAATAGTGAGCACCTATATATATACATATATATATGTATATATGTATACATATATATATATATTTAATATATATATATATTTATATATATATATATATACTGAAATAAATGTCAATTATAATGATAAGGATTATGAGAACGAGAATATATTGTATTGTATTGTTTGAAATGCTTTAAGCACTTTAACAAAAAAGTCATCTATACACTCACTACAATAATTTTCCAACAAAGTTGTTGTAGCAACAAATTGTAATACGTATGGCAACATGTTTCCAATGAATTTGATAACACGTTTTAATTATTTTTCATAGAAATCTAGTGGTAATATGTCAGAAGTGTTAAATCCGCCAAAATCCAGTATGCCAAATGTTAAACTTTGTTTCAAAACATTTGCTGAATCAATAACAGGTAAGAACAATATACTGACTATATAGTAATAAACTCACTAAGCAAAGATCTTTCATTGCCATCTAGATGCCAATGGTGACATACAAAACACAACAGATAGATACCTACATGAACTTCCCAGAAAATAAATAGACTACACACAAATAACTATACTTTTCTGCAATGTAACACCATGGACCTGGTAACACTAAATAATACTTGTGGAACATGCTTGGAAGAAGCTATTACTACCGTATCACAGATCCTTTGACCGTATTAATCACCCTTTATTGCTTTATTGAAAGAATACTTGCCGGACAGGTATCCGATTACCTAGACAAGCTTCATCTCCATGAACCTCTACAAACTGATAAGATAGTATAATACATATTCCAAGTATCGAAATGCACGCCATAATCGTACAAACTGCGTAGTTGATTTCATGATCTGAACTGCACTATACTTAATATTAACAATCCTGGTGGACATTTTAGAAGAGAACCATTATCATTATCACCGTTTTGGACCCCAGTTCAGCAATTGACATTATAATTCAATTATTTTTATTACACAGAGTACAAATGTTTTAATAGCTTAAATGATGTCCAAGTTACAATTTGCCCATACCACAGATAATAATGGGGG